TTTTTTCATTTATTATATTTTGTTTAATTTCAAACAGAATTTTAGCTGTTTCTCCAGTAATCATAAATTGTACCACTTCGTACTTATGAATATTTCTTTTTAATTTAGTAAAGTTACAATTATCAAGAATACTAACATATCTAGCAATACTTGGGTTTAAACCTTTTATAAAATTTCTCACTTGCTCTTCCTCTTACAAAGAGCCTCCATATCATTTATCATTAATATAAGCTATTGTTTGTTTAACATTTAATTGCTTTCTTTTTTCTAATAAATAAATAATATATCATTTTGATCAATGAATAAAATATAACTTTTTACTCTCCATACTGTAATTTATTGTATTATATTAATACATAATATAATACATATGTTATTATTGAGATACATAAACCACAGTGATGTTATTTTTAAGTCTGATATTACACTAGTAGTAATTAAATTTCTCTTTTCGAGTTCTTTTAATGATTTAGACTTTTTTAAATTATTAATTTAATCTAAAGTTTTCCTATGCTCTCCTTTGGCAAATTTTCTGTTCGTCTGACATTTATATTTCAAATAAATTATTTGAATAAATATAATAATTTTATATATTTTTAATAATCTCTTGAGTTTTTCAATACTTTCTCAAATAATAAATTTTTATAATAATTTTTTTTTCTCTGAATTTTTTTGTGTTTTGTAACAACTCAAAATAATTTCCTTTAGATCAAATGTAAAAATTGCCCAAATTAGTACTAAAATATTATGGTCTATTAAAATTATAAAAAAGATTAATGAATTAAACTATATTATTGAATTAATCCTAAATAATAAAAATGTTGGAGACGCGGTGCATGTATGACGTCTAAAAACTTATTTTCTAAGAAATTATAAATAAACTCTCATTACTTTAGAATTTTTCATTAATATTTATTATTACAAAATCTTTATAATATATAATTATTTTTATGTTACAATTCTCAAAGTCTATATTTATATAATATTTAATATATTTATTAAATTTAGTAAAATCCATTTTACAATATGGATCATCTTGCCACAGAACATAACTTGTCTCATATATTTCCACTTTTTCAATAAAATTATTATTATTGAATAATTTCACAAAATTTTTGTTTTTAATATAATAAATTAATATTCTCTTTTAAAAAAACCCAGCACAGGGGGGACGCGGCACAGTTGTGACGTGGTATAGTTGGATCAAGTATAATGATATCTGACAGTGATTAAAATCACTATCAAAAATAAACGCTTCGATGCAAATCTTTAGATAGTGTTTAATTTTAAAAAAATTGGTGTTTTATTCCAAAAGCTACTTGATNAGTGTTTAATTTTAAAAAAATTGGTGTTTTATTCCAAAAGCTACTTGATCTGCTGGTTCCTTATTAATATTCTGATTAATATAAAGTATGTCGAATGAAAAAGGGATATATATATTATTTCTCATAATACAATTGTGTGGATCCATAAACTTTTCAATAAGTTATAGCATTATAAAGTTAAATATAATATGAATAATAAAATCGAGAATTTTCACACGAAAATAGCATTCGGTAGCCATTTTCGCCGTGAAGAAAAGTCCAGAGGTCAAATTTTTTTTTTTTAAATTAAAGTATATTACATTAACTTTAATTTAAGATATATATAAAAGTGTTAGACCTTCCGAAACATTTTCAAAAGTTATGTTGAAAAAGTTCTACTATCTATATGCATTTTTTATATTTGAAGCCCCCCATATATAGGGAAATAATCTGATTTAAAAAAAAAGTATATCCAATGAAAGATGTATATAAATACTACTTCTCATGAAGTTAAGTTGAAAAAGTTAATTTTTTGTGAAAAAGTTGTCATTTTAAATCCCCCTGTTCCTGTATCCTGTGGGTATAAAAAAGGTCAAATTTACAAAAAAAATATACCAAATAATATGTAAAGACATCAAGCATCTATAAAAAAAAAAAGTTATATTGATATGTTCATTTTTGAAAAAGTTACGGCAGTTTTTAGTAAAAAAATTGAAAAAATTTCGAAAATTAGCGATTTTTTAAATTTGTAATTTTTTTGGAGGTTTCCCCCATTTACGGGGAACGAGGGAAATTTTTTCAATTTTGAAGGGTAATGTCTTCGACTAGATACGATTTGTGATCTTTTGACGTATCGTTGAAAGAAATCCGTTCGGTGAGAGCTGAGAAAAAGTGGTAACAGACACAAAAAAAAAAAAAAAAAATAAACACATCTTAGTAAAACCAATACCTTCTCAGCTTCGCATCGAAGCTAAAAGATATATTATAAAGCCATTTTATAAATATACAGATTTTAAGGAAAATCATCTTATCATTTTTTTTTAAATTTTATTTAGTATGGTTACTGCATGTCACAAAACATTCACAATAAAAAAACACTTCTTACAGCAGAATATAGAGGGAATGTGCAATACAAAATATGCGATTATACCCTACCTACTCATTCAAAAAGAGCCACAGAAAGATCATAGCACAAGACTATTACATAACAAAATATAATCTTCGCTAGACTTATGATATAGTCCATTACTTTAAGTCAAAACCTATATTGTTTTAAGCTGATGAGATAGCTAAAAATTTAGCATCCAATGTGGAATTTAACACGAGGAATGGTATAATGATATATTTAGACCTAACATGCCATCTGATGATGGAAAGTTAGAATAGGAGAGAAAACTTAATAGGGAATGTATAGCAAAACAATCTTTCAAACATTACAAATTTCCCATTCTAAAGAAAATATTGAAATGACTTAATTTTTTTAATACTTATAAAAGGTCAATGTAGATTTTACAGATTAATACTCTTTAATTGTATATAATTTGATGAAATAAAGTAAGAGAACTGTTTCTAATGAACTATGGGAATTTGCATATCAAAACAGCTTAAATTCTTTAAACAATGAAGCGTGGAGTTATAATAAGACTACGTCTAATGAATTTATATCATTTAATTCCTGCACAAATTTTATAGAATGCATAAATTTTTGCAAAGATACTTTTTTTCCTGAAGAATTTGAATACATTACATCTTGGTATCTTTCAATACCTGAAGAGGACTGGAATATTTTTATCATAATATAATTATGGGAAAATTAAAATCATATTAGTAAATATACCGATATAACATCTTCATAATATAATATATTGATTTTAAATATCAAATTTGTCTTATTATTCATATTAACTTTTACTCCTATATACAATGTAATACTCAAAATATCTAACCTAACAATTTAAGTAATATTATGGCCTTATGTTAAATTGTTAAAAGTTTTTTTTCTCAAAATAAGCTATATCCTCTCTGTCAACATTATCATAGAGCAATTATCTTTACTAATTTACAAAAATTATGTATTTATAATTATGCAACTATACTCAATTGCTATAGATTAATAGATCAATTGCTAATATTATTATATTAGCTTTTACACGCAAAAAAAATATATATAAATAATAATAAAGGAAATATTAATCTAAACATCTATTTTATAATTAATAATTACTTTACGTGGTATAATCAATAATGATTCTTTTTAAATATAATTGTTTTGAGTGTATAAACAGAAATTCATTTGAATTTCTCATCAATTACTCTTAATCCAATTTATGCTAAGATTAGATATTTTCTACTATTTTCAACCAAGTTTTCTCAAATAAATATCTTAAAGCAATTTTTTTAAAGTTCTTTTTTGAATTAAATACTATCATTAAAAAAAAAAAATCTTCACTACTAGTTAATAAAATTCTTAATATATTTTTTACTATCTTCATATTAGTGATTTTTTTTATATTTTTTATCGCTTTTTCTTTCTCTTTATAAAGTCTTAAAAAAAAAAAAATGATCTATGCTCAATAAATGCATGTTTAATTTCCTTTAAAAATATGTTTTTCTTGAAAAGGAAGAAAATACTGTTTACTTAGTTTACATCAGTATAAAATTTACTTAGCACACGCAATCCACATTAAGTAATTGTCATAAAAAAATAATCTGATGATTTACTCGCGAAACAGTCATATACACTAATGTTACACCATAACAATTAATCGTCATTATACAACATTTATAGTAAATGTGAACACAATTATTATTTGTGAATTTACAAATGATAATTTAAACTCATAATATAATTAAATAATTATGATAGATTTTTAAGTACACCCATAATATTACACTATTATTATTCACTATTAACTATCGATATATTTACATAGCAATCAAGAATTAATTAATTATTTAAATGTTTCTTTAACATTCTTTTTTCTTTTTATCGATTATTTCAAACATAAATATAAAAAAATCACAAATTATTCTCTCTTAGAATATCATTTCTTCTTAAAGAAATGCTTATAAATAAATTAAATCTATTATTATAATAATAAAAACTGTATGAATTGTTATTTTATATTGTATAAGATAAGGGTAAGATTATTTTACTACTACCTATCATATTCTCAACTAAGTTCACTGAAGCTCAATCAATCAATAGAATTTAAATAATTATCTATTCTAATAAGTTTCAATACAGGCTATGAATAAAAATATTTTTTTCTTAGTAATATAATTGCAATTAGTGTATATTATATAATTAATTTACCTTTTTTTATCTGAGGTAATTAATTTAATAAAAAGGTAGTATTAACTAACTATACCACTATTAATAATATTTTAATTAGTTAGAAGGTAAAATTAATAAAGATATTCGTCATTAAATCTTAATATAGTTATAATATACAAAATATCAGTTGATCTTTTGTACTAATCTTGTAACTCACATTGTAAAATAAATCACATCAATGAAAATTCATGGTAATTTTCGTTCATAAAATGTAAAGGTTCTATTAATGCAAACTGATAATTGATATTTCTTAACATAATTGTTAAATGAAGAACAATATGTTTATATAAACATAATTATATCAATATATTTTCAACTTTATTTAACAGATATATGATTAAATTTCATAAATAGTTTTTATTAATTGTTGTATAAGTTTTGGAATGAATTGTACATTACTAAACATGTAATAATGGATTAAGAAATTTTCTTTAAAAACGAGCTACTTGTAAATTATAAATTAGCAAGATAAATATGTTCATGTTAAATTGCCAACTGGTTGACACTAAAATTAATTTTTAATTTTTTAATAAGCTAGATATCTGCTCCGATTTAATTTCATAATAAGTCGGACCAAATCTTGAGAATATATTGCAATTAAAGACTTTATTAGACAGTTTCCTTAAAATTTTCTTTGAAAAACGTGAAAGTTTCAAATCTAAAAATAAAAGGTTAATTACATTTCATTGAATTATCACTTTAAATGTTAAATAAACAACCTCATGTTGTCATGATAAATAGTTACCTCTAAGAACGCATTTTACTACTAATGGTGCGTGTTGAATAAAAAATGGCTGTATTTTTCGTATGTTATTAACATTTACAGAAATGAAATCACCCCAATCTAGCAGTGATATAAAAAATGTCATTTTTCCATCTACATCTTCATTGATGGCCTTACAGATGCCTCTGTACCAATTACCGTCGTCTAAAATTAAGATAAAAGTAATAAGCAAAGTTTGTTGATAAATTTTATTTAGATTCACATATTTTCACTCGGAGTCGTTATTCATTTATTGAGTATTTTAAAGATATAACCAATTAATTACTTAGTTATTAAATGAATCTGATGTTAAACTTTAAAATTACAAATCTCGACTAAAATACTTAACTATTAATTACTTTTACAAGTTAATTAAGTTAATAACTAAAGGTTATTACTATATTTAATAACGCACAGCTCCTCCAATTGGGGGGTGTAAGTTTTTTCCTTAGAGTAACTGTAAAAAACATTAATGCGTTTTTCAAGTGCCCTAATAGAATTTTCTTCGTTTACTTTCGCCAAAAAGATATAGTTTTTAGCAGTGTGCAACACTCTTAGACGATATACATAGTTTACATTCAAGTGAAACTTTGGCATATCTTTCATCATGAACCGTCTTTCATCTTTTTTTACCTGAGTTAACTGACATTGCTTTATTGTGCCATTGTCCTGACACACAAAAATATATAATAGCTATTTGAAATAGATTATATTTATATAATTAAAAATGTATATTTTATATGAATTAACAATAAAATATTTCGGAGAAATTGTAAACATAAATTGACACTCACATTTTCAGTGGACACAAGAGGAGAATTTTCACTATTCGTCAAAGTCAAAGGTAAATCAATGGCATCAGAAGTGTCAGCATCGTCATGTACTGAAACTATGACATTTTGTGACTCATTTTTATATAAACCATTGTCCTGAACACAAAAATATATAATAGCTATTTGAAATAGATTATATTTATATAATTAAAAATGTATATTTTATATGTATTAACAATAAAATATTTCGGAGAAATTGGCACTCACATTTTCAGTGGCCAAAAAATGAGTATTTTCATTATTCAATACAGTCATAGGTAAATTACTGGCATCATTAATGTCAGCATCGCCAAAAACTTCATTTTCCGAAGCTATGACATTTTGTTTTTCACCCTTAGTATACAACATAGTTATACTTTAATATAAAAAATTGACACTAATAATTAAATTGTAAACATAAATCGATACTCACATTTTTATTGGGCACAAAAAGAGTACTTTGATCATTCGATTCAATCAAAGGTAAATCATTGGGATTATTAATGTCAACATCGTCAAAAACTTGATTTATCGGAACTATGGCATTTTGTTCTTCATCCTGAGTATAAAACACAATTTTATTTTTTTCAACTGATAGAGGTTAATGGACGAGTATTAGCATATACTCCCGTATTGCTTGTTGTGGCCCTTCCTGGAGTAGGCTGGTGGGGTAAATGCTGTGCCGCCACATTACCCTGCAGATCTTGGTGGCGACAGTTAGCGCTTACGAGTTAGAGGGGAAGGTACGGAGAAAAGCGTTTAGCGTATTCTGCATTTTCCGCCTTACTTCCTCGCGACCTACCCGAATATCCCGTTTTTGGTGGGCCACGGGGTTGCGTAATACCTTGAGAAGGGAGCGCGGGCGGCATCCTCCGACGAACGTAACACGTGTGGGAGCGGATCCGCCGGGAGGCCCACCGTGCCCGCTAACTAACCGGCGGACTACCTCGACGGATAGGGGGCCCGGTGTGTTTGTTGTGGTGTCGTTGTTCATGCTGAAAAGTAACAAAAAAGAAAAGAAAATTTTATTAGTCATATATCTATCCGACAGGTCTATATGGATACTGTTACGTGAGCAGAGGACATAATTAATTACATCACATACATAAATCTTCACGCATGAGAAGGAAGAAAATTAAAAGANACACGCATGAGAAGGAGGAAAATTAAAAGAAACGAAAAAAAAGAAAACATTTTCTATTATTTCATTTTCATACATGAGACGTGAATTTTCCTTGGTGGGGACTGGTCCGTTAAAAATACCCCTTTACCAAGGCGTTCGGCTAGTCTAACTGGGCCACACAACTCGGGCGCAAAACTTATTGTTCGCGTTTGGTGCGCTTTGAAGTAAACAATAGTGTTGTGTTTGTTTTGGGTGATTTGTTGTTCGCGCTCTATACGGCCGTCGTTAATAGCGGCGGGTGCTACCCGCTGAAGTGGCCAGTCACCCGGTTTCTTACCGTCCCCGCATAGGACGAGTACGGACGGCGTGTATCCGGTCGTCTCGTTACGCCCATTGCGCAGTGCGGCGAACAACAAGGGTGGTAAATTTGTGTCCCAAGATGTGTGACTCGACTCCGTTAATAGAGCGCCAAGTCCTTTTTTTAGCTATTGGTTTTGGTGTTGGGTCAGCACGTGAGTAGTATTTTGGGGTAATTTCTGCCCCCACCGATTTTACGTCTACAATCGTTTACGTTTTAGGCGCCCCTATGGGGTACGTTTCGGTCCTAAGAATTTTAGTAAATCCCTTACATTATTTGAGACTAGAATATCGCGTATGGACTGTAATTCGTCCGGTTCTTTGTCTATTCCTAGTCAATGTACCCGGTGCCCTAAAAAATAACCTTCAGAGAACCCGGTTTTACACATTTTAGCGTGACATGTTAGGCCGTGACGCGTTAAACGTTCTAGAACTTTACTAAGTTAGTCTAAGTGTGTTTCGAAAACATTTAAATATCGTCTAGATAAGCCTGAACAAAGTCATTACTTGATACCCTAAGTATATCGTTCATTAAACGTACGCACACGAAACTAAAATGTTTTTTGTTCTGAACGCGGTGTATTCGTTTTGTTGTAATGGGTATTGCCAGTAACCCGAGTGTCGTGAAAACTTTCGCCCCTCTCTTGCTTCTGACATACGGTGACGGTTAACAAGAGAAGGATCAATAGTAGAATCTACTATTTCGCGCAATGGATAGTGTCTATATGACCGGGTGGGAAATTCACTGCTGTCACCAGAGAACTAAAAGTTCATAGTAGTGTGAGCAAGGCGAAAAAAAATTCGCTGTCTCTTATAGAAAAAAAAAATTCAAAAATATTGGAAATAATGTGAAATGTCAGCTGTGTTTTCTTACCTTATTGGTGTCATTCGGTCGAGATGGAAGCCGGGGAGTCAGTTGATGGAAGTTAATGAACGCGCGGTCATATAAAAATTAGGCGATACTAAGTTGTATTAGAGGTGTTGTAGAGCCGTTTATTTTTCAAAAAAAAAAAAAATTGGTGGTACGTTGCGGTACATAAAAATCGTGTGTCACGAAATTGACCGATAAACGTATTATTGCGGTGGGTATTCGACGGAAGCAGTTTTTTGGACTCAACACCACGACGATAACACGTATGCGGAACGGTCAAGTTAACACGTGACACCACTGAGTGTAACACAGGTGACAACACCGTGACCGTGTCACAACAAAAACAGACAATACTAAATAAGTTGTATGCAAAAAATGCTCATGTAAATTTATACTTGATCTCTTGCATTTTGATGTTCATTGGACTCTTCTATTGTTTCAATATCTGTGTCCACTTCATATTCAATGCAGGTAATATTGTTATCAAAATGAACGTGGCGGTCTAGATGTTTAATCAGCCTATTTGTGTTGTCTAATGCAAACCTATTTATAATTTATTAATTTATTACTCTACAAAAAAAGATCTAAATTTGTTATGAATTTTGAAGTAATTTGTTCTATTTACCATGTAACAACTTGGATAGCATAAAGAATGCATTCTAGAACTGAAAAAATAAAATTATTGTTTTATATAAATATATGATTAAACAATATTTAAAACTATTATTGAATTATTATTAATTTATCGAATGTTATTATACTCACGGTGAAGAAGCTTAATAATGGTCGGCTTACTATTGATCCATAAACATTTCAGTGTAGCTGTAAAATAATATTATTAATTAGTAAATATCATCATAATGATTAATTTTCTTTTATTAGTTTTGTCGAACGAAAAGAAATTTTAATGTACTAATCTGTTGTTTTAGGTCATATAACAATATANATAGTAATCTGTTATTTTAGGTCATATAACAATATAATAGCTAATTATGTAAAGTTACTTACCTGATGAACGAACGGAATGAATTATTTTCATCATATTTTCAGTAAATCAGAATGAAACACTAGCACAATATTTCGTAAAAGAAAATATTTTCACTATAATTCTCTTATAAATATATTTTCTGCGTTGAGAGTATTATTTAAACAGAATGTCACTTTAATGATTAATCTCTTACAAATCAACTGTAATTTCTAGTTGGAGTATCCATTAACGACGGTCGAATTACATTTTTTTTGAACCAAACAATATTTTAATTAATATAAATTTAAATTGTGATATATTTTTATATATTTTCTTTTTTAGTTATTCGTCCAAGTTACGCGAAGNTAAATATATTTTCTGTGTTGAGAGTATTATTTAAGCAGAATGTCACTTTAATGATTAATCTCTTACAAATCAACTGTAATTTCTAGTTGGAGTATCCGTTAACGACGGTTGAATTACATTTTTTTTGAGCCAAACAATATTTTAATTAATATAAATTAAAATTTTTATATATTTTTATATATTTTCTTTTTTAGTTATTCGTCCAAGTTACGCGAAGGTAAAACCTAATACGGTAAACGTTTCAATAGAATCGCTGTGGACCAAACATTTTTCTGGAGGGGGTTTCCGTTTAATAAATAAAGTTCAAAGAATGTTTCAGTGTGATATTTTGAAACTTATTAAAATATGGTTAATGCAGTTTTTTTAACTAGTCCCTCACTCATAAAATTGTGGCAATACCATATACATATATACGTATCATATTTCGACTTCACTAATTCACATGTTAATGAATTTTTATATTTTCTAATAGTTATAAATGCGTTACAGCTTTTATGGATTATTTAAAACTTCAAATGTATTAAATGCTCATTTTAATCTACTTATGATACTATAAACACAGGTTTTTGTAAAAATGAAATAAAATTTTATAATTGTAATCTCATATATCCTTAAAATAACATGGTCTACTTCTACCTCTTCTTCCTTCAACATTCATTTCTATAACTGTTCTTACAGCTTCTGATTCTTCTCTCCTCATAACATGACCAAACCATCTAAGTATTTATGTAGTATATATCTTAGTAATATATTTTCTCTCATCTTATCCACGATTGACGCTACACCCATTCTCCCTCTTATATGTTCGTTCCTTATCCTATCTTTTCTAGTCACTTCACTCATCTCTGCTACACTCGTTATATGCTTTACTTTATTGTCGTCCGTGCCAACACTCTGAACCATACATCCATATCTGGTCTCACTACAGTCTTATAGAACTTACCTTTCAGCCTCATTAGAATTCTTTTATTGCATGATGTACAAGACGCTTCTATCCTTATTAAACCACCCGCACTGTGAAGTGTAAAACACTTCCTGTGTCTTACATCCTCGTCAATACTACCGTCTTTTTGCATAACTGATCCTAAATACTTAAAACTCTCCTATTACGTCTTCGTTTATTGTCACTTCTCTCATAATTTCATTTACCTCGTGTTCTCCTCTGTCAAACTATACTCAATAAACTCTCTTTTACTCCTACTTATTCTTAAACCCTTTTCTTCAAGAGCTAATCTCCACACCTTTAGCCTTTGATTAATTTCCTCCCTATTTTCTCCTATTAACACTTTATCATCAGTGAACAACATGCATTACGGCACTTCCTCTTGATTTCTCTAGTAATTTTATCCATCACTATAGAAAATAAGTAAGGGTTTAAAGCAGAACCTTTGTGCACTTATACTCTTACCCTAAAACCTTCTGTTACTCCTCCCACACTTATTACCCTGGTAAAAGTGCCTTCATACATATCCTCTATTATATTAATTTACATTTTCAGGATTTCTTTTCTCATTGAAGTGATAACAATAATAATACTATTTAACATTGAAAAACGCTCTGAAAATGAAAATTACTTAATACGACTTTTGAACAATTGTTTAAGAAAATATCCTTATTTTTATATATATAAGTGGGTAAAATTGTAGAATTCTACATTAAAATGTAGAATGCTTATTAATAAAAATAATAGTACACCAGTTTAAAATTTGAAATATTAATTACTCCAAAAAAAATGGTCCAAATGTTGTTATCAAAGCGTCATTTTTATAACTCAATGCTTTTGTATAATGTAAGCCACATAAATATATATGTTGCCATTTAAACAACTAAAGTGTATATCTGTTAAAAGAATAAAAAGAGGCATAGAACTAGTTTTATTTTTTTAATTAGTAGTACGTAGAATATATAAAGATTAGACAAATAATGGAAACAAAATCTCAGGTCACAATGATTTATAATGTAGATCTTATAAAATTGAATACATCTATTACTTAAATCATAAATAACAACAACTGAAATGATATGCTATTTTAGATTTTCGAAAGAATTGATTCGAATTATTTTTTATAAATTTCTACTTATGTTCAATATCCTCTAAATGAGTATAATAAATATACAAGTAACTATTATTTTCGGTTTATTTTATACTGATTATTTTCTGTATCAATGAATGATACAGACAAATTATTTTAGTAATTTTCAAAAATTTTAGGCTTTGCTCCGTTAAAAATATCATTTATTATTTCATTAATTATTTTGTAACTCTTTTTATGACAAAATAAAAATAGAGTAGATTTTGATAGTAATAATATTATTTTCCATTAGATTATTCGTGGTATTTTTTACATAATGTCTACTGCTCTAAATTATGCCTTATAAATATTATTTTGGTTAATAAAATTCATTATTTATTAATAATATGCAAGTGTTTTGTATAAAAATAACATTTTTTCTTTGTAATAAAGTTTTATATCAAATTTAGAACTTTTCTTCATATAAATTTAAAATGCTCAATAGTTTCTAAGAAAAAAAATATCTTACCAGATTTTGATCACTCTGTATAAAATATAAAATCATTATAAATTACAACTACTGACGGGTCAGTCTGGCAATATGATTAAATAACATTGTGTGAAGAACAACTTGTTCATTATACTTGGCTTAAATAGTCATTAATATTTAAAAATACGTGACTTTTTTACAGCTTTATGGAAGTTTTACATTATATAGTTAATTTAAAAATTAACGAGAATTTAATTTATGGTGTACAAATTATACACAATTGTATTTGGAGTAGTAAAGTTTAACTTCACATTGACTAGCAATCTCATTTTATCAAGTGACAAAAATGTGTTTTCATCATAAATAACTTAGACAATACTTAAAAGCACGTGTTCTCAACAAAGCTTATAAATATTAGTAGTCATAAAAAGAGTTGCATAGCCTATTATTTTAAGCGTTTATGAAGATACCAGTGTATTTTCGTGTTATAAATTTAATAATTTATATAACCTGGAAAATATAGTATGAAAAAATAAAGGGTTTTTTATGACTTTGTGAGTGAAAAGAATACAATCAAGATATCTTGAGTAAGTTACATCTCGTTCGGATCATTTTAAATAATAAAATGTTATTGAGGTAATAGTTATTTATTCATTGTTATTTGTTATTTACAATTATAATTATATCACACTTTTAAGGGCGGTAAACACTGAGCAAATTTTATATATAATATTTGACGGTACGAATAGGTTATAGGGGTCTCGTCGTGGTTTGTCCGCCATTGCTGTTCATATCATTTTCCCCACCGTAACTTTCCCATTTTCAGTCATTTCAGTCTCAACAATTTCAGGGCCCCTGTAAAAATAAATAATTAAAGAAGTGCGTTATCTTCATACAACTAAAATAAACATTTATACCAAAACAAAGTTGGTAATAAGGTTAAAAGATAATTAAAAATAATTTTTCAGAGATAATATATTTTTTAATATTTGTTATTAAATCAAATAGTCATGTGTTAGTGAAAATTATGTATTTACATTACAATTAACATATAATTTACAAAAATAATCATTTTTTTTCGAACACTGGAAAAATGTGTTATTGTATTAGAAGAAAAAAAGCTAATTTGGTTAGTGCAAAAACTTATATTCGACCCATCCTTAGGAATAATCGTATTACTGATGTATAATTTTTTAATTTTATTTTCACATGAGTTTTTACATGAGCATTTTTAATTAGAGAAAATGATGATTTGAATTTTAAGTTTGGGATGTATAATTTGATTATTCCGTTGGCGAGAGACTTTGTTTATGGTAAATATATTATTAGTATACTTAAACATTTTCTTTTTAAGTATTTGTGAACTCGTTTCAATACTAAGTGAACAAATTGATAACAAAATGAAATTTAAATTTAATAAAAGGTCTTTTCTGTCTACGGTTGCCTATTATTTTCTTGCTTGTTACATTTGATATGGTTTAGTTTAAACTTTAAGTGCAAAATGTGTACATTTGGACACAATCGTTTGAACCTTACAAATCACGTGAAAATCATCTTAATAAGGAAAAGCACAGTGTACCTGGAAGGAATCTTGCTGATCATTGAAAATGTCATCACTTCGCCAGCATCTGAAAAACAATATTAATTTGCATTAGTTTGGAAAATTGAACCATCTAAATACGCTATTTTAATAGTTTTTACTATTTAATAAATTTTAGTGGCGATTGTCTAGTATTTTTTTTCTTTGCGATCTTCGTAAAATCAAATAATAGAACGTTAAACTACTTTTAATTTTAAGAGTTTCTTTCAACTTCAGTTTTATTAATTACTATTTAACTATGTTTGGAAATACAAAATACTGAAATGGCATTTTTGTGTTAATTTACCGGTAGCTTTTTTGTTTTTAAATAATCATTAATTATACTTATGTGTTTTATTAAACATTATTTTTGTTTTAATATGAAATAGTAAAAATTTGCGACTGTATAAACACACAAAAAAAGAACCATAATAATTATAATATTTTCACGCCTTTTTTTTTTAACAAAAAAAAATATTCTAAATAGAGTTTCTTCTGGGCATCATGTCATTCCAATACAACCGAAAGACTTTAGTTTGTTAACATTTTGATTTATTTGCTTTTTTTAAATATTTTTGTTTCTTACTATTGTTAAAAATACATTCATATCCCTTCACTCATGTTCTATGAATTATTTAAATTATGTTTATTTTTTGTGTAACGAAAGCCTGTAAGAACTGTTCCTTTTATATGTTGAAATAAAAGCTAAATAAAAATAGTTTTAGTTTTTGGTTAGCAAATTGAATTTTATCTTAACAGATAATTACAATAAAAAAAATGTTTAATGATTCAATTGATTCTCTATCTAGACATAATGATTGTAAAAATATACTTAAACAATTTCTGCTTGTTATTATTAAATTAATACAAAGCAACTCGTTTTTTTAAGTAATATAAATATCATTTAAATTATTGTTTCCTGACATATAACTTCTACGACTTTATTATACTACTAATTCTTATAGCGTAGATACAATGTGTTTACAAGTTTCTGATTGTGCGAACCGAGGGAAATTTTTTATTATTTATTTCTTGTACGCAAAAAACGCATTTATTTACCGAAATAATAAAATGTTACAGGATAAAAGACAAATAAACTTTTAGTGTATTTTCAATAAAGTAGAAAACAAAAACTGTATTTTTGAAACAACAATAAATTACAATTGAATATTATTATAGTAAAGTCAAACAGGACAAAACAAAACGTGTGCGATGAAGTTATATTATTCAAAATTACAGTAAACCCTTTGCGTTCTGTGACCTCTTGTAGTTATGTACAACATTATATATAAAAGTGACCAATTCATGTATTTATCTTTTGGTCTATAGTTGATTTAAACTTTTTGGTAGACATTACAAGCACAGACTAAGTTTAAATTAGATTATCGATGACAAACTCAATAGAATTATTACCTTTTTCCAAAGTTACCTATAATAATGTACATCAGCTAATAAATAATAAATCATTATTATTGTAAAGAAAAAATACTTCATTGTTGATTTTTGCTTAGCTAATCAATTTATGTAAACTTTCATACAATTTCATAATTGATTCAGTTAAAAAATATGAATACATAATAAGATTGTCGAGCAGATTTTAAATAACAAATTCAAATATTCGCAAATTATCATTTAAATATTATAATGATGAATAATTAATTGATAACACAATACAGTATTATAATAGGGGTGAATTGAGCTTTATGTCAACCATTTAGTCACCGAAAACGACAAAGGATGATGAAATCGGCTGGATAACTTATGTGTCGTAATGAAAACGTTGGAATTTTTAATCAATTTAATTGGTTTCTCAGGCCAATTTTGTGGAAATGTTATTTATTACTTTAGTTTATAACAGTTATTGCCATGGATCACGGTTTGATTACAGATAGTAGTTGTTTTAAAACCACTTGATATGAATTAACATTTATAGGTCTTATATGGTATTAAATTTTATGATAATATCATTATAGTTTTGTTTACAGTTGCAGTAATAAATGATGTCCATGATCAAATAAATATTGTTAATGAATTTTTAAATTATTTAAATCCCTTGATTGCTCGCAAAATAAATACAACATTAAAAAAAAAATGTTTGTATATTTTGAGTTACACATATTTGTTGATTTTATAGGTATTCAAAATTTTGATCTAAAATTGTATAGTGGTGGCTAGAGATGAAACGCGGGTAATGTTGTTTTTTTTATCGTAAGACATTTCCGACTCATACTCTGCCACCCCCCCCCCCAAGATATAAAAATGAAAATAACTTTCGACGTTACTGGTCCAAATATTATTATCACCCCGCCATTATTTTCATTCAGATAATTTATCTATTTTATTAGCTATTAGTTATTAACTATGAAATAAGCTAGTTAAACATTTATTTTGTCATTTGAAAAATAATGTTGACACCCGTATAAGTTATAAGAGATGGCTCTAAAAAGTAATTAATAACTTTTAAATCAAGAAATATTTGTAACTAAAAAAATCTAAACGCGTTAAGTATTCATTCAATTAATTAACCGCTGTCCGTTTTTTTTTTTTTTGTATAATCGGTGACAATATATTTAAATATATTAATTAAAATTAAAAAAAATATATTAACAATAATTAACTGTACAAACAAGTGAAAATATATTTTGTACAAAACCGTATTATCATTATCAGCGCATAAGTAATAACGGCAACTACGATTGAAAAATTATGCTTAATTCCTTTTACTTCCAATATAAAGTTATCACCTGATCGGTTTTGACGTTATTTATACCAATATAACCAAGTAGATAGCATATGGTTTTATTAAAAAATAAGTTGCACCTGAATAAAACAACTCAAGGATTCTCATTAAAAACCAATATAAAAATTTCATGGAAAAGTTTGATAATTAAAAAGCGGTGGTATTCAACTGCAAAATTTGTAAGAACATTAAAATACTTAATTTTTCTCCAATTACCCTTATTTTGAATTTTTTACATTTAACAAGTTGCGTAATTAATGAGTAATATTAGTCAGCCAATTTTTAATTATAATTTTAAATAGCTCAATTATTTTAAACGCAATTTTCTGTTACTTGAATGGTATTGTTTCTCAATAAGAATTTAAAATATTTTCTGAAAGTAAAATTAACCAATTCGTTTTCAATAAGGTCTATTAATTAAATGATAAAAATAGAATTTTTAAGTTTGAATGCATAAAGCTTACAATGTGTGGATGGCGGTGCCATTGTAGTTGACATAGTGCGTTTAGCATCGTTAGTCAACGACCTCCTTGACATTGCTTGTCTATTGGTAGTAACTTTTCGGCGGAGCATGGGCACAGCAGACAATGTGTATAGAACTGGGTTGACAGCGGCATTTAGTGGCAATACAAATACAGCCACCCAAGCGAAAACCTAAAAAAATAACACTAATTTATTGAATTTCAAAACGACAATATCTATGACATGATAAATGTTTAAAAGAATTGGCAAAAACTGAAAAAATTATGTTTGTTAATAATATATACGTATTACACGATTTTCATTTATTCAAAACATATTATTTGTAAAATCTGTATTTTTTTTCTCAAATAAAAAGTGCCATTTATCTGTTCATAAGCATATATCAAATTAGGAAAATAGATATTTTCAACAATTTATGAGAATTATACTTTTTTAGCTTTTATACTTAAATTCGTGCCATTCTTTAACACCTTAATAAAACGATTATTTTACATGAAACAATAAAAAAATTAGAATAAACCTATATTGTATAGTTAAGATAGCATTCTACATGGACAAGTCGCAACACTGAATATTGATTTGCCCTATTGTGAGAATGAAAAATTAAAATTAGGGACAAGGTCTTAAAATGTTTATAAAATATTTTAGTTAGTACTTTTCATATTATAGTTTTAAAAATGTTAGTTATTTTGTATAAAAAGAAATTGCTATTTAACAGTATGTAATGCGATTAAGATGTCGATTGTAATATTTCATGAGATATCATTTTGGTATAATTTAAACATAAATATTTAACAAAGATGTTTAATACATATATCTTATAATTATATGTGATTTTGTGCAAGTATTTTATATTTTAACTTGATAAAATAATTGGTAATTTTTTTTTAGATTCTATTACATAATGTATTATACACACTAGTTGTTAAAATTTTTGTTGTTTGTGTTTTATTATAATAATGTTCTATTAATTCTACAAAAAAAAAAAAAATTTCAACTATGGCAAAAATGTGTTTAATCCAAAGTGGATACTACTAATTATATATTTTATTATAAAATTTGAAAATAATTTTTATGCATATTTATATTTTAGGGGTTCATAAGGAAAAATGTTTTTATTGTTCCCACTATTCGTAGAAATTTAACCGTTTCCTTACTTTTTGAATACTGCACAATACTGTATATGTATAAAAATGTACAGTGCACATATTTATATATAATACTGTATATATTTATTTTCTTTGTGATTCAACAAGTTTGAAAATTCGAACAAATAATAATGTTGTATATTCTCTTTTAGTTGTATAATTTTTTTATTTTGATCTTAAATTAAATACAAATAAATTTTTTATATGATCAATAATAGAAATATATTTCCAAGAATTTTATATTAATGCTTTTACATATTTTGTGTTGACATTTAGTTCATAATCTTATATCGGACCTTCGATTTTTGATACCAATTGAAGTACACCGATTCTATTATAACATACTGAACTGAATAGTGAAAACAGAGGGTTACATATATACCAAGTGATTGATTTCTAGCTAGATTTCTTCTAAAATAATAATTTGAAGATTTTTTTTAGAATAGTCCTATTTAGTTCACTAAGATCACTGTTAATTAACATATAACTCCATAGATAATAAAAAACGACTTTTCAATAATACTACAGAAATTTCCTTATTTTAAGATTTGAGAAGTCGTTTATTATTATCTATGGAGTTATGATAATTATGTAATATTTAAAATAAAATCTCAAAATATTACCAGTGATCTTAGTGCAATATAATTAGTAGCAATTTACGATTAATTTTGTTAGAAAATAACTCACAATTCATAAATATACTATATCAAGATGACAATTTTAATTAAATTGTTACGCTATAATATACTTTTGTATGTTATCGTAGACAGAATGACATTGAATTGGATTATACTTCGAAAAATGGCTACGGTAGAGAATCATTACAATTTATTAAAAAAAATTCCAATGCCAAGTGCTAATAAAATTAGATAGTTAAAAGCAAGTTAAGCCATCGGTAATTTTAAGTTAAATGACACAATGGAATATAAGAAGAGAGGGATTGAAGTAATAACTAGAATTTTAATGAAACGAAACTTCCAAAGGCGAATTAATTATATATATTGTGAAAAAATAAGATAAGTCTTCGTCACTACTCTCTATTTTACCATTTAAATGTATTCAAGAATATTGCGAATGTCATTTCTTAGTATTACTTTTTTCACGATATAAAAATTTGTTTGCTAAAATTTGAGAAGATATTAATTTTTTTTAAATACAGATAAGTTAAATTAAATAAATTTTAATATTTGATAAATTGAAAATAATAAAACATTTTTTAACGTACGTAAGATTCAAAAATAAAATAGTATGTATTATAAAAAAATAACATCACAAAAAATGTATTGAAATCAGATGACATTAGTTCTTAAATTAAAAGAATGGTATGTTATGGTTTTAATATAGATATAATGATGCCATAAAAATTACTCTTAGTATTAGTTGAAAATTTTAATAGCATCTGATAATAAAATACACAAATAAGTACATTCATATTAAACATTATAAATAAGTTGAAGTTAACCTATTTCTTTTACAAGTACAGTCAGATACGACAGTTTCAAACTAGAATAAAAAATTTTTATTTGAAATGATTATTTGGAAATTATAACATAAGTATATAAGCTGAAGTATTACTAAAAACTTGCATTATTTTCTCGTAACTTAGAATTCGATTTTTATTAAATAAATAAATTTTTGAGGTATAGTGTGTATAATTATTGTTTATTATGAAATAAATAATTTGATTTAAATGTTCATTTTTCAATTATATAAGTTGAAAAATAATCTTCAAAAAGTGGACGGTAGAAATTTGTAAGCTATTTAAATCTTTACAATTAAAACTTTAATATCTTTTTCGATAAATTAGAATATTGAGTATTAAATATTAGCGTATTATAAAATATTAATTGTATGATTTTTGTTATATTGAAAAGACAAATAATGTTTTGAAGTCTGTGTAAATATTTTGTAAACATTTTCGGTGTTTTATAAATATTCAGATGAAAAAATCAATGGATAAATCTAAAAGTATTTAAACGTTTTTAAGTTTAATAAATTGCTTACTCTTAGAGATGATAAAATCATTAAAAATACATTTTACCTGTGGATGTACAGTGAATCCCGCGAGGGACCATAAACCTAAGCCTATTATAGGCACCCAACAAGCAGCGTCTGTAGCAACCAGTAGACTCATTCGCCATGCCATTGCAGATTCACTGAGCACACGATGCCTAATGAGATTTTCTGTTGCCCTGTGAGTTGTCTTGGCTACGAAAAACATCCAGAGATAACTACCGGATATCAATAATAGCGAGCCCAGATTGACAACTAAATATTGAAAATCTATTAGATTTTAAATAAAATATTTTTCGGTAACACCTACATAAAAATATGAATACTGAGTATTCCCAACCGTTAGGTTTATCGGGTGTGATATGTAACGCTAAGCATACGCCAGAACGCCCGTAGAAGTTTCTATAGAAAAATATAGACAAATTAAAAGAACGCAATAATTATTTAAAATATTATGACTAAGCATTACCTGAAGTAATGAATGTCAAACAAAGGTATTACAGAAATAATGATAGCCAAAAACCAACATATAGCCATCAAAATCCGTGTACAGTCCATTTGAAGTCGACGGACTTTAAATGGGAATATTATAACTAGTAGTCTTTCTAGAGTAATAACTAAAAAATAGAAAATTCGATAAAAATCCATAATTTCCAAATACGTTTAGACAAACAACTTACCAGTCAATGTGAAAACAGATAATTCACTAGAAAAAGTGCTTATAAATCCTGCCACATTACACATGGTACTTTGCCTCCAGTCAGAGTCATGAATAAAGTATGATCCTCGATAATACCAATCGACGACAGCTATAACTAGCAAGTAGGATCCCATTAGAAAATCACCAAGTGCCAAGTTGACAATGAGAAACGAGTGAACTTGGTTGGTATGCCTGTACTTGGCTCGGAATATAATTACAATAAGATTTGCAGTAATTGCAACAATGGCCAATATCCAAATACACACTCTGAGTACGATATTGGACATGAGATCTTCACAAGAGCTAAACTCATCAGGCAAAGGACGACACTGAGGTACGTGCCGTGCTAAGCAGCAAAAACGAAATTCATCAGTAAATCTAGAAAAATTCGCAATAAAATAAATGAGTAACCAGGTAATGTGTAAATTAAAAAATGTAATTGTTTTTTATTTACAGTGTCTCTAGAGTAGGCATTGTGAGAAACCCGCTAGGATCAACTGTTCTCAATCGATTTTTTTTAAGGTTCCTTCAAAAAATATGAAAATTAATTCAAAGTTTCAAATAAAATAAAAATTTTTATTTTACTCACAAAATGTTCAATTGAGGCATTCCTCGAAAAGAACCATCCGACAAGTGTGTAAGAGAATTTTGCGATAAATCCCTGATAATATTTGTGCTTTATAATATACAATAAATATTTTTTTAATAAACAAAAATAATTAATTACTCACAAGCTTTTGAGTGATCTAAGACCGACAAATGCGTCCGATTCAATCTGGGATATATTTTGTCGGCTCAAGTCTCTGTGAAAATTGTTGTCATATGGTTATCAACGTGTAATCTTATTTATCTTGCAGTTTATTACATAAATTAATATACTTACAATGTCATCAAAGAGGACAGACCGTGAAACGCCATTGAATGAAGATGCTGAATGCTGTTACCTTGTAAATGCCTACGTACACAATTTATAAGACGACATTTTAGCTTTTATAGTGTAGCAATGAAACGGTAAATTGAATGTTTGTTTTATACTTACAGTCCAGTCAGCCTACCTAGTCCGAGAAACGAGCCGTTTCTTAAAATAGATATTTGGTTATTTTGTAAATTTAATGTTGTCAAACGCCAAAGAGTGGAAAATATAAAAGGTTGAATTTCTGAAACCGAATTATTGGTCAGGTCCCTAGAAATGATAACATAAATTTCAAAGAATTAATCAATTAAATTAGAAAGAAACATAAATTTAACATAACGAATATTTTAACAAGAAAATTTTATGTGCTCGACTTACAAGTAAACTAAACGGTCTAAATGCCGGAAAGTTTTTGAGTTGAGATATTCTCCGAAGTAGTTGCTTTTTAAATGACTTAAAAAATAAAACTATTTTTAGTACAAATTAATTGTGTGTTAAATTTTTATGCTAAACTAACTAGAATGTTATTTCTTTTTCAGCGTCATACGGAAACTCACGTAATCCAAGATTCGTGCAGTTTATCATTACATCCTGACAATCACATTTAGGCGCCACATTAGAACATTGGAAAGCTAAAAATAAAATAAACATTTCAATTATTGAAAAAAAAATTTTTTTTTAATAAATATTAATAGATAATCACTGCAATTATCCTCATCGTCCCATGTAAAATCACAATCAACTTGTTTGTTGCATACCATTGATTCATTGATACATGGTCCACGGTGACATTTATGTTGTCCTTGATCACACTTCCAGTCACCTGATATTTTAATAAAATTAATTGATAATAATACTTCATAAGTTAATATAATAATCATACTGCAGTGTTTTAAGTGTGATTTATCTACACAACCCAATTGGTTGTCTCCAGGATCAAAGCATTTGTATAGTAATGAAATACACTGTCCGTTGTCACAACGAAATTCATCTTCCTTACATGGTCTGTGATCTATAAGTAAGCAAGAAATTATGTGACTATGTATTATGTGATGTTAAAACAATTTTAATAACGCAGAAATGTACTACTGTGGTAGGCATTTGGCTTATTATTATTTTTCTATTAGTTTATTTACGGACGTAATTTATGACTTATTCCGAATAAGTACATACTCAAACAGAAAATTTATTAATAATTGTATTCACTAATATCCGACTAAAAGTTACTGAAACGTAATAACGTATAGTTAGTGCAATACATAGTCTCTTCTGTATTGAATCTCTAATTACTAGAAGATTAATAAATGATTTTTCATTTTTATATAATGTTTTGAATGGTATCTATTATTGTCTAGAGTTTTTAGAGAAATTTACTTTTTATGTTCGTGAATATTAGATATTTTAATTTATTTTTTATAGAACTAATTTAACTGTGTTAATAATTTATCCATAATTCGAATTATGTATAACTGTAATAAATATAATATTGAGCTGTTTTATTTCAATAATAATGTTTTTAACAAATATCTTAAATCTAAATTTAAATATTTTGTCCTCATAAATTAGTTGTATTATTTTTTATATTATGTATTTATCTATTTTTGTGTTATTTATGATGTGCTATCAATTAAATTTTAATGTTTATCGTGGACTTGTCCCGTAAAATATACAAAATAAATACTAAATAGAAAGTTTAAAATTACAAAACAAAAGCCTGAATGTTCTTTGAACAATTGGTGGATACATTTACACTTACTGCATACTAAGATTAAAACTTTTGCAATTCAAAAAAAAATTACTAAAAAGACAAATCATAGCGTGTTTGTTTTTCAACATTTTCTTCAAATTACTATTATTCGGATTTTGGTGTACAAACTTATCCAATTTATATAAACTGTACTCACCACAATTGTTTTCGTCGGATCCATCAGCACAGTCTTTTCGAAAATCGCACCATTTCTTTGGAGGAATACATTGGCCGCCTACTAAACACCGTGGCCAATCTAGTTTAATACAAGGAATGTCCGCTAAAAATATTATTAAATCTTTATTGAATCACAGGCTACATAAAATGTTAACATTATTTTTTACTTTTCATCCAAGTAATTTAATATTAAAATTACTAGGCATTTTTATTTTCATTTACATGAAATTTTATTGAATTATCTCCGTTTATACTTTATATGTAATATAATTTTGGCATGATGTAAATTTGCTTTTAAGTTTTGTAAAAAAAAACAACAACAGATTTTAATGTTTACATAGAAATTAAATTTAACCAACTTAATTTAGTTCTTATGTAGTGTCACAGAAAAAAATAAATTAATTTTTCGTTAAATAAAAGTAAAAAAAAAAAGACAATATTATATTCTAGTGGAATGAGAGTTTTTGTCAATTAAGTGCTGAATAAAATATGAAAAACTAAACAGATAATAATAAAATAAAATACCCAACGAAATGTATGTATTAAGATTTAGATTTTGCATAACACTAAAATTCTATTTAGATGTGTATATATGAAATAAGCGTATTTTATACTCGAAACTAAAAATAACTTAAACAATACTTTTTAAGCCTCTAAGGCAAAGGTTGAAACTAACGTTATACGCCTCCGTTTAAATATAAGTTCATTTAATTAAAATAAACCATAGACGCAGTTAAAATTATATTAAGTAATATTTTCATTTATTTTAAGATTTATAGAGTAATTAAAAAAAATTGTTTAGGTAATTAAACTTTGTTTTGTATTTTAATGCTTGTATCTTATTGATGTTTGAAAGTGCATATTAATAATACCCTTGAAATTGATTGTAAGATTAATTATTATTAGATTTAAAAAAATATTCTTATAATACCAATATAATTTTTTCTCGTTTAAATTTTTCAAATTTTACCACTCTATAAAAAAGAATACTTGGATATTTATATGAAACAATTCGGAAAAGTCTTAAAATAGTCAAGTCAATTTTTCTTAAAATACTTTTGATATTACTTCTAAACATTTTATTTACAAAAATATAAATAAAAAGATTAAAATAAAATTGAAGAACACTATCATTTTCATAGATAACTTTTGTTAAAAAAATTTATGTTCCTAATATACACAATTGTATGTGTCAATTTTTCAAGTTAAAATAAAGATTTAGCTAAATATAATTAATTAATTATAATTGATATAAACACACACAAGAATTGAACTCTAGTTCGTAATAAAATAATATAACGATAAAGTTTAACTAAAACACTTTAATTTTAAATTTCAGGAATTTCATTAAAATTTATAAAATTATAAATATTTCTATTTGTAATTATGTATAAACAAATTGAAATAACACAAAATTCAAAAATATTCCAATTATCAAAAATAAAATAGTTTTTTATTTTAATATCTTAATAATTTAAAATAATTATTATACATTTGAATAATTAAATTAAATTTGTAATACATTATTATGAACAAATATCTTAAGCACGTGATTAATTGTTATCTATTTTTAAATCGCTAATTAAAAGTGTACTATGTTTTAATTAGTGATGGGAAATATCAAATAGTAACTATAGACTATTCGCTAGTTATTCAAAAAATAATCAATAGTTTATGCTAAAAATAAACTATTTGGTAGTATAAATACATTTCGTATAGTTATTGGATAGTTTAAAATATTTTAAATTGCCCATCTCTAGTTTTAATACATCTGTATCGAGATAATATATTTAAAGTTATTGAATTATTTAGTTATATTTTTCCTGGTAGCCAATTTGAATTCCAAATATTTTTATGGCTTAAATGTTTAATGAATAAAGTTATTGGGTGATTTATGTACTCAATTTTTTATTATTACTATTCGTTTATTGAACATGGCATTACTTGTTAAGTATACTTAATGCATACTACGAACAAAATATAAAAATAAATTGAACGAATCTTTAATTTTTCCACAATTTATATTATAAGTTCTGCTCATTTTACATATTTTTACGCAAAATTAATCAGACCTATTTTACTAATAAGAACGCAATTAGCGGATTATTTTTGGAAAAGGACTTATCTAAAATTGACAATTTATTTGTTTATAAATATTTGTCCTGTCTTATTAGTTATAAGACAAGACTAATTGTTAGTACCAAGTGTATTAATGTAATAAGTCATTACCAATTTCATTTGTTCTAAATGCATTAATTTGTGCGGTAGTTAAATTTCTAGTGTATTTTACTTAATTTGTAAAAATAATAAATCCAAACAGAGTGAGTCACAAAGATAGACAAATTCAATAACTTTTAATCGAGTACATTCCATTGAATTTTTTCTTTTAATAATTATTTACTTTCTTAGACTTTGTTTAAAGCATATTTTCATTATTTATCACTAATAATAAAAATATGTTTTTAGCGTAGTATAAAAAGACAATAGACAATAAAAAAAAAAAAATTTCAACAAAACGATAATTGGATAAAAGTTTATTGGTTTATCATATCTTCACGACTAACCTTTTGTATTATTCTATATTGTGTAATTTATTTTATTGCTGTATAATAAAATTGAAAATTCAATAAAAAGATTTTTGAAACAATAAATGATAATAATCGATCACCTTGATATTGTAATATTATTCATGACCTTAATACGATTACCCATTCAGTCTTTAGTTATGTCATTATACTCATAGTTAGATATGTAATATATTATGCTTAAAACTTTTGGAGGATTTTTTTTACAGCTGCTGAGATGAATAATATATAGTTATTTGATTTGTACGATATAAATATGAAAAATGGCATCTGGAAACTTCGGTGTTTACGATTTCAATATAAATCCCAAGTTACCATTTTAGTTATAAATATTTGCTAATGTTACTAACCGCATCCTATTTCATCACTTTTGTCCCAACAATCGGTGTTACTATCACATCGGCTTTTTAACTCAACACACTCTCCGTTATCACATCGAAATTCTCGAGGACCGCACGTTGGCTGCCCTGTACACTGAATTTCATCGTCGCCATGCAAACATTCATCTCGGAAATTACAACGGTGTTCGGTTTCTAACCAACGGCCATCTCGACACCTGATTAGGTCGTCTAATTTTTCTGCTGAATCATCTTCTTTTATAGTTTTTGAGCCACTGTCATCTGAGTGATAAAAATATATTTATTCAAGTGGACGGTTAAAATGTTAAAAGAATTAAATTAAATATTGTAATTTTTTTAAAAGAAAATAATTTTTGTAGATACTTAGATTACACCTACAATTTCTACCAAGTGTCAGTTACAAGAAATATAAATTTTAAACGATAACTATGTGTGTCTCTTCTACTTTATTGAATCATTCATTTACAACAAATCTATAAAGTAGTTATAAATTTATTATGATGAAAAAAAAAAATTATTATTTGACATAAAACAAGATTTTAAAATCATTCTTCATTCATTCGTTAATATTTATGTTTTGTTGTTAATAATATAATTGGCATCCGTCATTATTCGTTTTTATTAAATTACACAATCAATTTTATTAGATTACTGTAATATTGCTACTTTAAACGCTATCGAGTTGAAGTGTGTTCAATACATTTAAAACAACATTTTATTAGACTTATTAAGTAACCCTATAAAAGTAATAAAATAAACTGTATGATGTTTTTTTATATAGATGGTGGGCGGGTTAAAGGACGGAAATCAATTTAACAATATAATTTCATAGTCTGATGGACGTTCAAAAGGCGCATTTAACAAAGTAAAACAAATTTTGATTTCTATATTTGTTTTATTAAGTGTCTTATTCATAAAAATAAAATATCATGGAAAAATGTTAAAAAATAACGGGTTTCTTACGCTCCCAAACAATTATTTTTTTGACTTCTGTCTTTTGATACGTGACAGCCCATATGTTAATGATTATGATAAAAAGTCTGTAATTGCAATTAAATACTATATTATTTAAAATGACTTTACCATAGTTAATACTAAAAAAAAAACACTTTAACACCTTTAAATAAACCTAAGTTTCAATCGAAATAATACATTTTAAAAATGAACGTATTTTTTAAATATCAAAAGAGTTAAACAACACAAAAATAAGTTCAATACGATATTGATTATTCTGAAAGTGCAGTTTATTTTAGGAATTCTTGACCTCAGTCGTAAAACCCAAGTAATTTTGTTATCGTTCATCTATAAAAAATTATGTTATCAAATGTCTTCAAAAGGTAATCATTGTGTACAATTTTATGATTTTTGAACATGCGTAAAATGATCAAAGAATACAGCAACGGCTTTATCACAATTCATAAAGTGGATGCGTTTTGTATATAGCAAGTAAAAATGAAGTAAAGAAGAAAATTCAAAGAGCATATTCTTAGGATAACTATGTAAACTCTTTTGAATGTTTTTCTTTTTAAAAGAATTGTTCGAGCGTGTTTTAATGATTTAGCGTTTATTTAATAGCATAATCCTATTATATGATAGGTCTAAGCTATAAAATACTTATAATGGCATAGGAATTTTCTATTTTATAGAATATGTAATATTTACTTAGCAAGAGTTGATTTACAATGTGTACCCAGTGCTAGTAAGTTATTTTATTTTTGTACAGAGCTGAAGGATTGAACCTCGAGGATTTATAATTATTTGTTTTATCTATTGTTCCCAATAAATTTCTATGCATGAAGTATTTTGGAATTTAACCTTTAAAATATACCAACATAGTATTAGATATAAATTAATTACAATAAATTATCGACCATAAAATAAAAATCTTAGGGTTAAGCAAATTTAAAACGCTTTTGAATTGGTATCTAAAGGGTTTGCAGATAGGTTATTAATATTAGGTCATGTATGCTTACTGCAACCAAATTCGTCAAATCCATTAAAACAGTCGTTGTGGCCGTCACAAATGTACCTCTCCTTTATGCATCGCGAAGGAGATCCCACGGGCATCCAACAGTTCAGTGAGAATCCTCGACGGCATACGATGACACCTTGTAAGACAACGTAATATTACACAATGCCAAAAAATACACTGTACAGGTAATAATTTATGAACTCCGCTCTGATAATTTATTTTACCACACTGTATTATAAGCCATTATTCAGTCTTTAAATACTATTATCCCTTCATTGTACTTAGTAAAAACCCCAATTCAACTGTTGTACGCAAACAGAATAATATTTATATTAATTTTAAACATTCATAATCCTATTGCTCCATTAATAGTGGACATTGATATTTGAGAAATCGCTTTTTTTTTTTGGAAATCAAATCATTAACTAAATTTTCAGAGGGTTTAAACATCATGTTAAAAATTATTACTGTCCAATTTTTGATAATATTCCAAAAAATTAACGTCCGTCAAACTTATTTCAAATTAGATATAATACAATGTACTTTGAGGTGAAAAATAACTATCCGAAAATGAGCTTTTATGAGTTATTGTGATACTAGACATAAAATTTTAGACAGTAAGAAATTATAAAATTTTCGGTAAAAATTGTTAATTTTGGAATGTTTTTAAAGGAAACAAAACATCTAGATCGATAAAAACTAAATACATTAAAATATTTCTTTACGAGCTACGCAATTAAAGAAGGAAAACGTTATGACGATTATTTTTCTATCAGTAAGAAAGAATGGACTTTTGTCATCTAATGGGTAATGTCTTTCTTATTGATATCTAATTTCTGAATAAATTTAATGAAATATTATCGATAATAAAAAAATGTATAACTCCTTCGAAATTTATCAGATGCATATTTTTAGATTTACACTTAGTTAAATTATTTTTATAAAATATTACACATTATATAATAAAAATTGATCACTTGCGTCTAATATTATTTATAGTTGAAACGATATTAAAAATATTAATTTAAAACTAAAAAAAATAAAAATACTTTTAATTTTTAAATATACACATAAAAAATAAGTAATTTAAATTTTCTTTTTGAATTAAATATTTATAACCAATAAGCATAAACACGGGAAAGTGATAGTGAGCTAATAGCGCCGACTAATAATTTACTGTTAATCATATTAATTTTCTAACATTTTTATTGAACTTGTTAAATTTCCTATAATTATGATATGATAAATTAATTCTTGAATATGTTATGTAAACCCAGAATTTTTTTTTTATAGTTTAAATTATTATATTTTTTTGAAATGAAAACATGTTTAGTAGTGATATTTCAGGAATCAAGAAGAGAAATAAAAAATTATTAAACTATCTATGTGTCATACCATTTTTATAAAGATCAATTTGCAGACTGTTGTGGCTATAACTAAATTTTGATATAATTGGCAGCGTCATTACTTATAGTTGTGATCGGAATTATCAACACAGATGTCTAATACCACCCAAAATTAATTATTACTAAAAACTTTAATCAAATCTTTGAATTTTCTTTAAAAATTCGGGTAATAAATAAATAAATTTTTATTCAAGCATAAATCAATGGTTAATTTCTATTGGTATATTTTTATAGCAAAGTCATCTTAGATCGGCGCCATTAGGTTTCCCTTAATTGGTCGTTAAAACTGGAGAAATTTCAATTAAATTTTTCCGAATTTGTTTTATTTAATTATAACTTTTTGAAAAACAATCAAATATCAATGAAACAGTCGTTATTAAAGCTAATATTATAAAAAGTCAGTCTATAAAAACGGCAAAATTGAAATTTGATAACTCAGTAGGTTTTCATTGATATTTTAAAAGTCCATACAAATTTGTATAAAACATTAATTTTAGTTGCTTTAAATAATATTTCAGTTGATTCTATTATTTGATTTGCACTGGCAATTATTTAGAGGTAATTGTAATTTCAGTTGCAAAAGTGCCAATTTGGGATACATTTTCTTAGACTGAATTATTTTTTCAAGACTTTGGGTGAATTTTAATTTAAAAGCCATTTAGTAAGTACAAGAAAGAAATAATAAATTACTAACGATACTAGTTTATCGCTAGTGGAACGTGGCAGGTATGGTTAATGTACTTTACTTTGACTGTATTACATAGTTGACAAATTGTCGCTTAGTGACGACTTTCAGGCATATATACGACTTCTCATATTAACAATTCCATACAGAACTGTTTCACTTACCGTCTGTTTCGGTGTAATAATCGGAACAATCAATTTCATCGGCACACGATCCTCTTATGTCCCACAAACAATCGCACTGCCCGTCGCAAACGTTTGCTTCGTTTATGCACCTCCCGTTGGGGCACCGAAATTGGTTAGTGGCACATGTGCTATTGCCTAGCGAAAATGTTTGGAAACAATAAATTATCCAAGTGGCACACAAGAACATTACAAAGTTGTTATAATTACATTGCAATTCGTCAGCGTGATTGTCCTCACATTCGGGCCAGCCATCACACCAAAAGGCGGAATGCACGAGCTTACCAGTACCACACTTAATAAAATCATCTGCAAATGGCAATTTTTAAACAGAATTATCAAAAAAAAACATAGTAAATTCATTTATCATCTCATTTTCATTAGGTTTTTCGCCATAGTATTTTATTAGAAGTGATCGATAAACACAAAATTAAACATAACCAGAAATCTTTTTTTTTTTTGCTGTGCTTGTGTGCAACGAAACTCGTCATTTTACCACTGTTGACGATTCTTTTAAATCGGAAAGGGTTTTTTAATTTACGTCTGTATGTAAATATTTAATGTTTGCCCGTAATTGTATAGGTCATAAATAAAAAAAAATCGGTTAACATTTTAATGCAGTGTGATCGACTAAGGATAAGACACTCATTTTCTTGGAAAATATTAAAAGTTTCAATTTTTGTTAAGTAAAATAATGTTTGGATCAAACAAATTTACAATAGTATTTAGCTAAATAATTTTTTTTCATCCCTTTGGAAATGAAACAAACTTTAATGTAAGCTTTAATTTTTTTAACGGTAAACCTCATTTTTATTTTACTGATATGATATAAAACATTTTTTTTATTTTGTTCTTGCAATGTTTATAGCCGATGAACTGTTCATCTATTGTTAGTTGCTAAAGATTAGCGATTTCAATTAATTGTCTATTGATATTTAATATTAAACAGTCATCAGTTTTTCAATCTGTCATCTTAAAGCATTTTTAAACAATTCTTATAATCATATCCATCCCTTACGACTTAAAGAATAATTAATAATATCCAACTGATAATAATTTATGGTCCCTAGAGAGATATTGCTACCGGTATTATGAAAACCAGATTAAAAATGAATTTCTATTTTGTATCTAAATCTTTAAACTTTTTAAAAACGCGATTGGTTGAACGCATAAATACATTATGAAAACAAAGTTTGTTTTCTATCATATAGTTAAGTGAAAATAGTTGTTCCATTAAAAAAAAAATTAAATTAAAATTTTTTATCTCTGAAGGGATGAAAAAACTACAGTTTAATTACAAATTATTGTAAAGTTTTTTTAATTAAACAATATTTTCCTTTACAAAAATAAAAATTATTCAATAGTTATCTTTAACATATCACCTAGTATAATAATTGCATAATCTAAACATTTTAAAATGTTAAAAAATATTCAACTCGCAAAACGCACATTGAGTTGGAATTTTGCTAGTCCTAAGACTACATAGTTACTGTTTTGTAAGTCTAACAACAGTATTACAACTGTCAAAATATGATTAAATTATTAAGATTTTTTGGATATTGTACCATTGCTACGAGAACAATGTTTGTGTAAATTTTCATTCAAAAATCAATTAAGACTAGTATAGATTGTAAACTGTATGGTTCAATTATTGAACAAAAAGTAATTTAATATTCTCAGTTTATCAGACATTAATTAAAATACAAATCATGTAGTTGACGGCCTGTTTGAACCAGATATATTCTTTGTTCTTTATAAAAAAAAAGTTTAAAGCATAAATCGATTTTAATTTAAGGTAAAAATAATTAAATGTATAATTAATTAATTAATTCAAAATAAAAAAATTAATATTTCTTAATTTTTATCTATACAAAAAATATCTTATTTTAAATAAAATTTTTATTTTACAGATTTAATCACGCGTTAATTATTCCAGTTTTTCGAGTAATTTGTTGGAAAATTTCTTCACAGTTATATATTGTGAAAAAAAGCTATTTTTGTAAAATGCGACTATTTTGTTGAACCGAAGAAACGGTTAAACGAAAATACATTAAACCTCGATATAATATGCTAATTAGAACTTTGGTAAACCCTTTCCTTTTTTATACTTTTAGTATTTATTATTTTAAATAGTTTATCATTAAAAACATTGCCGCAAAAGAGCCCATTAAGAATTAATTATTTATTATCAGCATAAATGTTGTTACAGAAAGGATGAAACTTTATTGTATACAAATTGTTTCTCTTTTATGATTTTTAAAATAGTTTGAGATAATTGTTTAACGAGCAAAAAAAGGTATTGCTCGTTAAAGCATTTATTTTACCATATTCATTATTTTCCAAGTCATCACTATTATATGCAATTACATTTCTGTTGAATTCTTTAAAATATTCAAGGAAAAATTAAATATATCTACTGTAAGTTAAAAATGGGCGAGTGATCGTTCCAAATAAAATGTATTTCGCTGCCACGGAAACTAACTAACTCAGTTTAGTTTCAAAGTATTGGATTGTTTGAATAGAAATCAAAGTTCTCAATTATTTACTCTTTACGTACATTTTAATGAGAGTTATGAAATCACTATGATGACAGTGCTTTGTTGTTGGTTAAAACAAAAACTACTAACTTTCTATGCATATATTCTACGCACAAGTGTGCCTTAAATAAAACAACTATTCTTACTTGCATCGCAGTTCTCTTCATCGGAACCATCAACACAGTTCACCTCTCCATCGCACAGATAAGCGGGTCGCACGCATTCCGAGTTTTTACACTTAAACTCTTTGTACCAACATTCTCTATGCTCTGAAATATAATACATCAACACAAGCGTTATTAATTAAGCGTTACTTTGGTTTTTTTTTTTTTTTACTCACTACAATGAGATTCGTCAGAACCGTCTCCGCAATCGTCTTTGAAGTCACATACTTTATCAGTAGGTACGCAAAAGTAATTGGCACACTTGAAATGGGTAGTGGGACAGACGTGAGTTTCTGTTTAATAAAAACAAGTTTAGATATATCGTAAGATTAGAAATGCAATTAATTTTTATATATATGCGAGTAAAAAGCTGTCATTTGTATATTATGACTGGCGTGATATTGATTCGGATACAAAAACAACTTAAGAGACATAAAGTCGTTTATTCGATTCTCATTTTTTTACTCGCTTGATAAAAAATTACAAAGTTCAGTGGGTGACAACTTACTTTTAATAAAAGTTACCACTAATAATAAAAAGTACCGTTATTGAAATATATATTTTCATACATTTAAATATAATTAAAACAATAAAAAAAAATTGTACGTATTGTAATTTGCATAATATTTTATTACACAAGCAAATTTACTAAAATAATATTAAAAATAAAATGTGATTAGTTAAATTAAACATTTTTTTTTTAATAAAATAGTTTTACATTAAAATGGTATTGAATTATGTATTATATTTTTTTTGGAGGTACAATAAAAAAATTAAAATTAAATTCACGTAATTTAGGGGAAGCATTTCATATTAAATTAGTAAAAATCGTATGAGTGTTCGACTAGGTATTAACAACTTGGTTGGAAAGAAGTACACATTTAAAAGTAAAGTATTATATTTTCAGAAATTTTTTAAGAAAACATCGGCATTATTGTTTTAGGTATTCTTATTAGGAATTTCTAGATCATAATATAAACTCGTAGAACAATTTCCTTTGTATTTTGTTGAACATTAAAATTATAGAGTATAAAATGTGTTTACATTTTCATCTTCGATAAATCAGTTTGAATAGTTTGCTTTAAATGGTTAAGATTTCAAAAATGACTCTCCGTGAACAATGTGTATATTATTATAAATATCATAATGATAGGTATTTTTTTTTTCGTAAGTTATTTTGTTACTAAAGTTGGAACTTTACAATAGAAAATTTACTTTTATTTTAAATATATTTTTCTTTCGAGCACTTCAAATAATAATTGTAAACACATTTACTCGAAAAAAAAGCTATTTAGTCTATATGAAAATATATATAGTTTACTCAAATTGAATTTTTAGGAATAAAGATTTACCAGAGATAAAATACCTGTAACTGTACGTATGAAAATTGTGTATTACTTTACGGCATTTCTACTCACAAAGGAAAAATAGTCAAAAGTATGTACGCAAAATAAACTTTTATAAAACGTTTGAATACAAAATCCGTAGTGTTTCGATTTGTTCTATTATCAGTCGGCAAATGATAACAAAGTACATTCATATCGGTTCTCGATTTTGGGTTCCAAGAAAAATGTACTACCTACTAATTCAATTTGTAATTCAACTCACTGCAATTGATTTCGTCTTCTGCGGCTTCGCAATCAGCAACTTTGTCACATCGTTTTACAGAATCTATGCAGCTGTTTTTACAGCGGAACTCGTTCTGTAAACAACCTGAAAAGTGTTTTCATACATGAGCAAACTTTATGAGATTTAAGTGCTGCGTAAGTTTTCTCTTTGCGCTAAAAGTCAACTCAAAGAAAAGAGTCTCGTTTAAAAAGTCGGCAATATTAAGTCTGGTATATTAAAAATTAAACACGCCAAAAATAGATAATCAAAACAATTATTGTAATGAATTTTTAATTTTTCATCGTGTTATACAACTCGGACAAATGGACTATTTTTGTAATTACCATGCCAGTTAAGAACAATGTGGTAACAAATTATAAAAAAAAAATAACGAATCGTTAGTGATGTAACGAAATAATATTCTCGAGACAATATTCTTTTACTGATCTTTACGGAAGAATATATTCATTAAAAAACATATATAACTAAATAATTTCTTTAGAAATAATTGTAATTTACTTGATTGATATTATAATGGTAACAAAAATCCTCTAAAATACATTTGAGACAAACATTTTTTTATGACTTATTAATGTTTTTGAATATCTATGGATTTCAATGTATATTTTTTTTATTTCTATAGCTTTTTAATGTTTCATATGTTATTTAAAGATTTGATAATAATCTCAAAAAATGCTTTAGTGTATATGTAATCAAAAATTCTGTTTAGTTAAAAAAATTCTATATAATTACCGTAATTTAGGCTCACTTTGACCGTCAAGTATAAATTATGTTATTTCTAAATATAACTCTTAATAGTTTGTCAACCCGAACACATGAAATTGGATAATTGGATATCTTTTATTTGAAGTAAACTATATCGCTAAATTCATTTGATCAAATTAACTGATGGTAAATTTATAAATTTGGAAGTGACCAATTGTTGACCAATTCAGAATCATTTTACAATAATATGAAATATAATGAAATCAAGTTGAAAATAATATTCTCATATTTTGAGAATATTCTCAAGAACTTTAAAAAAAAAATCTCGAAAAAAATTGTAATTTAACATAACGTAATATGAATATATAAATTTTCAAGGCCATCCTTCATAATTATAATTAATCATTAAAAACAGTTTTTTATTGTTAAATATCAATAACTACTATAAAGTTATTTACAAAAAACCTTAAGCTCCTCAATAATTAATATGATTTGGTTATACTTGGTAGGTGAAGTCACTCTATAATGTATTAATTTTTTTTCTACACTTCAATATACCATAAATTATTATTATAAATCTTTTTAAGGTTCCTATTGAGCTCTTTCTGAGTTGTTGGAGGGAGTTTTCATTCAAATAATATTGTAAAAGTTTTTTTTAAAGATTTAACAAATATCCAGTTTGACATATTACCATGTTTCATTTATAATAAAAATATTTGACTATTTGTCGCAAAGTAGAACTTTAAATAATTTTGTTATTTCAAATCGCAATAATTTTTAAAGAAATTTCACATAAAATAATTCACTAACAATTTGTATTCAATTAAATGATAATTTAAAAAAATATGCTTCAAATTGAATTTAAATAATAAAATTAAGTTAAATAAAAAAAAAAACGTGTTTCTTCTTCAGGGCAAATAAGTTAAAAGATATATGTTTTGTTTAAAATTCGTCCGCAGATAGTTTACATAAAAAATACACGCGTAATTGTATGCCAATTAAATACTACTTAAATTTACAATAATTAAATTTATTTAAAATTAGTTCTTGTTTAAATTTTTATATGCCAATGTGGAATTTATTATAAGAAATGTTAATTTTTTTGTAAATAATTAAATTTTGGCTCGTTTAACCACTTATACTAATATGCTGCTTAATATATAGAAATGTTTCAATAGTACTCTTATCTCTTATAACAATTTAAATAAGTTATTACAGTAATTTTTATATTTATATTAAATTAAATGTAAACATTCAAATTAAAATCGGAGTGTCATAAACAATTTATACATATTTAATTTAATTATCGTAAACAAAATAATAATTGCCTACGTTTAATTAAATGTGCTTAATTTTTTTATATTAGCATCCGTAAAATTATCATATTCTTCTATTTATTACTATTATTAGTAACACCAAAAATATTAAGCGTTTTAATGAAAAAATATTTAATGATATTAACAATGAACCAAACTCTCTTTAAAGTATCAACGAAAAAGAGTATTGCATACAATTTATTTCAACCGAACTGCACTATGGCGTTGTTCCTTTATTACATTTTTAACAACATAAAGTAAACATACCTAACCACTAATTAATTTTAATCTAGGATAACTAAGGTACATAAAATAAACGTATTATGAAAAAATACTTCAGCTAAGATTTCATGTGACCCACCCGCACATTCCTACACTGGTTTACTAGTCATTGAAGTGAACAGTAATTTTTCGATAAAAAATTCGTCCAGGTTAAATATGCATTTGGTTAACCCAATGTATACATATTTTTTGTATCATTATTAAGCTATGATTTGGTCATTATAGTAATAGATTGTCAATTATTTCGATTCAAGTGAAATTTAATATAACTGAATAACTCGAATTTATTTAGTAGAATACTATTTATTCATGTAACAATGTTACATCGATTTAACAGTAAAAATGTTTTGAAGTTAATTACTCATTTAAAATATTACTCAAATTGCCCATATATTCACTCTACAATAATAAAAAGAGACATTTAGAAGTGACATTTCATTATAAGTTACTCATATTGATATCCAGCTGCGGTAACATCTTTAGTGAATGAGCAACACTATAAAATGAACACAGTCTAGATTTTAATTAAAACTCGAGCAATCTGATTGGACTAAGTTTCATTCAGCAGATATCAATATCAAAAAATATTTTTTATTTATCATATTTGTACTAAATTTTTTTTTAATTCGGAGTACAATATTTTTTTTTCTATAAAATGCTGATTAAAATATTAAAATTACCAATTACAGTTTTTTATATTGCTATTATTATCATATTTATAAATTTACATCGTGATTTTAAAAATAAATATAATGACCAAATTATAAAAAACTCCGAATTGATAATTCATTGATTTTCTTGTCTTATACGCTTAATACGTTACTTGGTAGAATAAAATAAGTGACTAATAACAGGCTTAAAAAAATTCCTCTTTAATTAAAATAATTCAGTAGTAAAACATCCATTTTGTCATATGATGTCGTGTGTTTAAGATAAATAATAGCTTGAATAACGGTTAAATAGAAGCTCACATCAAACATTAATAGAAAACATTAATTAAGGTAGCAACATATGTAATAAAGCTACAATCATTATAAAATAAACCCATTTATTTGAATTTCACTTTACCATAAAACTTGAAGAGCATTTTATTGCTGTATAAATGGAAGCTCTATCTCTAAATTTTCCCCTCTCTTATCTGCCGTATTCGTTAAAATATTTATACATTGACTTAATTTTTATTTAGAATTATTAACTTAATTAGAGCCAATTAGATATTAAAATTTTTTCTATTTGTATTTACTTACTATAAAACGCTTTATTAAAAATAATTAAAATCCTTGAAATTACAACGAATATTCGATTTGTCGAGCGACAGAATGTTTCTTGTCGTTTTGGACTATCCGATGAATTAACTTGACGTCCTTCAACGTTTGGACAAATTGTTTGTATTAGGGGAAATTTCAAATAAAAAAACAATGTAATAAAACAGGGCACGTCATTTTAGATGAATATAAAAAATTCATAAGATTATAGACTCCATCATGTTTCTTTTATATCTCATTATCATTTGTACCATATTTAAATATTAATCAGGTATTTGGGCAGAGTACGTGATTATCTATCAGTATTTCCGAACCTCGTCAAATGCCGAAGAGGCCTGTGCGTGTACCGTTTTTTATAAGAGTAAATCTTACTTCCTCTTTTCATAATTCATTCGTTCTGGACCGTTTTGTATTTATAACACGATCAACGTCAATTTTAACAAAAACTTACCAATGTTACAGGATGTTATTTTCATCGATAATTTGAGCACTTTAAACGCGCATTGCATTAAATATGCTAAACTCAAATCATTGAACTTTCAAGTTTAAACGAAAAGATTTAGACAAAGTTAAATAAAGCCAGAACATTCGCCCAAGTTCGATGTGATATCAATAAAATATTATGTTTTTGCGTTCTTCTAAATTGCTGCGATATAAAGTACAGTAAATAATTTAAAAATGAAATAAAAAATTGATGGAGCGAAATAAATTGCATGTGGCGTATGTGTTTAATATTGATAAAAGATAGGTTAGGTAAGTATATAAATAAAAAGTTTAGTCAAACGTTCATGAATCGATAAGTTTTTTTCCTTATTTATAAAGTAATAACTTAAAAACACTCCTATTAGGTAAGACGATGATAATGTTCAAGTCCAAAAAAAAACTAATAACGTTCTGAATTCTGTGATTGGAGTCAAAGTTTATTAGAAGTGACAGTAAACAGTGGTTACTAATACAGTGAGATTTTCTTTTAATAATTTACAGTACGGAATATAAAAATGTACACGCTTCATTCTATGAAACAAGTAACCCAGACATTCCTAAGTCAATAGTATTTTTTTTTAATACTTCGACAATATTAAAGAAAAACGAATTTTGATACAAGAGCAAAAACTCAAGTTTGAAAATGATTTGGGAATATCTGTAGATATTTTTTAAGCCTACTAGTAAGTGATACTCTATCACATGGTAATAGATTTACTCATCACCAATTACTACACCAATTGAAAAGAATGTTCAGTTTACTTTTACTATTACTTCAAAAAAAAAAAAATTAATCACTTGATTGTTACAAGATTGGTGGCACTAATATTAATATATAGATAATTCCGTATAGGGTAAACAAATAGTAGTTATTTAGTTTATTTAAAGCAAACAATAGTCGTAGGAAAATAAATCAGTTACACATTTATCAAACTTTTAATTTGATTGGGATGAAATATGCGGAAATTAATCGTCGTACAATTTTTGGTGTTCAATGAACAAAATTAGAGTAGACACATCAGTAACATAACTCGTTAGATGAAAAGTTATCGATTATTACTAAAAAATCATATACTAAATGTAAACAAAAATACATATTTTTCTACGTATTATTTAATGTAGGTCGTTAACGAAAAGATATTAAAGCTCGTATATATATATATATATATACTGAGAAATATTAGAGTATTTTAAGCCTTTTTTGAATCAAAAGTGAATGAAAGACATAAAGAAATTGAATTCCTCGACGTAAATGTAGTGGATGACAACATTAGAAACTCAACTGTATGAGAGAGATGCTGAGAATTTAAACAACGTATTCTATTACACCACTATAATTCGTACAGATACCAACTTGTCTAGGACTAGATAGTTGAGATGCGCATATAATTTTCACACCAAAATTTGGTGCGGAAGTAATTTAAAAAGCACACTCGACATAATAATAATAATAGAATTTACAAGAGCACTAAAATAGAATATACTAGAATAAGTTGAAATAATCTTTTCAGAGAGATTTTTTTTTTTACTTTCATTTTAATACCACGGTGTCGAATTAAAGTGAAAATTATTAAAGAGCATTGTGGTGTTAAGGTTTACGATTACGTTTTCCAATGAGAATAAATTATTTAACATCTTTTAAATTAGTAGTCCATGACTACATTACAAATCACATCAGCTTTATGAATGAACAAATCATAGTAATTACCTTTGGGTGTAAGTAAAATTCATTGATCCATAGAAATAATTTACTCAAAGCATATTTTATAATATTGAAAATTATCCTTGCGCTGTCTACTCTTTTATTATCAGTTATTTTACTATTCAACTTGAAAACTTTCTTTTTATTACTTTTTTTAAATTCTCTACAAATATAACGTTTTCTTGGATTTTTTCCAAATGTTAAGAATATTATTTTGCGGTTGAGCGAATACAATTTCATCCCCAAGGCATCGTAATCGTACAGCCAAATTATGTCAGTAGATGTGTTCTCATTCGAAATAAAACTTTCTAAAATCATTTTTAATGGCGTAATGAAAATAAATAATCTTAAGTAATTAATAGTAACATAACGTGGATAATACGATTTGATTGTATAAAATTAGGTAAATATTTTGGAGATATACCCAATTTGAAAATAAATTTTAAATTATAAAAACGTATTGAAGAGCAATAAAAATATATGGTGTGTTTTGAAAATCTGTGAATGGCAGTTCAAAATGAGCTAATAGCTAAATTAGTCGATATAATGAATTTTGTCCCATACATTCGACATTTTTAATGTAAATCGTGCACGTGTAGCATTTAAAAACTCAACAGGCGCCATTACTACAACAAAACTGATTTAACGACTAATTCATCAATTATAAATCATATACTATGAAATCATAAATTTAATAAACTGCACCAGACATTTAAAAACGTTTAATTTATTAGAGTAAAACGGAATGATTTTTGGATTGATAGAGTTTTTTGTCATTTAAAAATTTACTAAGACACTAAAAGTACTGTTTTGTAGTTCATCCAAGATAAGTATTTTAAAAAACAATGTAGGTTCGCGTTGTAGCAGTTTTTCTGATTAGTAGTTAGTCAAAGGAGGAAACTTTGCTGATGCGTTGATATTGAAGTAGACGTTTTTACAGCTAAGTATTTTCATTATTATACTTGGTATTTAACTACAACACTGAGACAAGATTGTTGTTGATTAGTTAAACTTTTTCGACCTTATAATTCTAATAAAAACGGCATGTTGCTTTACAAACAATCTCTTGTTATTATCCACGCATAAATATGTTAACTTAAAGCAAACATTCGTTTGTTAAGGTACAAAACGAGGATAATATCATACACATAATACTTCAGTAATTGTTAGTTTTGACATGCGCGTTACACCAATCTCAATAATTGACCAAAGTACTATGTAGAAAATATAAAAAATAAATGCACTTACCGCATTCTGAAACAGACTCGTCTTGGCCAAGATGACAATCCGGTATACCGTTGCATACTAAAGACTTGGGGATACAGTGCGTAGAGTTGCAATGGAATATTTCCACGGTCGAATTGGAATGACACAATGTACAAACTTTTGTTTGATCGTCTAAAAAAAAGGATTCAAACGATTTAATTCAAAATAGTCATCATTAACTGTGCTTTAAGAATAAATTAATGCTGTTTATAAAAAATAAATTTTAATACCAAAAAACTATTATACAGGGTCACCTGCGATGTTTTGACAAATCAAACAACTTTTCATACTGTAAAAATACTATGTTATTTTTTTAAAAAATAATTTTTAGAGTTTAGACCTATTTTAAAAGCACTATCTTATTATAAATATCAATAATATTTTTTGAAATTTCAAAATAGACATTTTATAACAATTTTCTTACCAAGAATGTTGATTATTAACAAATTTAGAATAAGTACTTACTATGTCACAAGAATTTCAATACATAGAACGATATGTAGCACTGGTGGGTATAGTACGTAATAATGTATGTGTACTCCACCCACGCGGAGTGCCTAAAAAAGTTATTTTGAAATTTCAAAAAATAAATAATTTAATCTGTATTTTTTTTTTTATTATTTTTTATTAGAGACAAATTATACATAATATGCTTTTAACATAGTCTAGAATTGTAAAAATTATTTTTAAAAAATTAACAAAATATTTCAAGAACACATCAAAGTTTTTTGATTTGTTAAAACATCCTGGACCACCTACAACACTTCACATACGCAACTTATAATATTCAGGCATAGTTTTAGAATTTTTCAAATATTTAAGAGTTTTTGGATTTAGTTGATAACAAGTTTGTGTTTTAACTAGACAGTTTTAAATTTTAATTAGTTGAAAACTAAAAAAGTTTGTTATTTTACAATCAAAACTCGACGAAAGTTTATTGTGTTACAATAAAATGTATAAGTTTGCTTTAGATATAAAATTTAATAAACTCGTATTGTTGGTTCATAATAATTACACATTACCATAACGATGATGCCCTTCGCTTTTATACATACAATTCGTATAAATAAAAATAACCAATAAACCACATTAAATCAACTTCCATAGTCTGATCGATTTGATAAAAACAGAAAATATTATTTGACAAATAAATACAATGGTCTAAAACAATAGTAATCAAATAAAGAAAGTATTGTCGAAGTAATAGCTTTACGAAAATCATTTTTTTTGTTTAAACTTTTCTTAGAAGTTTAACTTAATTCTTGTCGTCTCAATTCTGATTTCTGAATACTCCACTTTCATGATAATGATAAAGAAGCTCTCGATTATATTTAACAGTGTTTTTTTTTTTTTTGATGTCTTACAGTTAAATGTTTTCATTTTCATAGAATTATGCAAATGTTTACATTTGTATCTAACGCTAAAATAATGCAATAAAACCGCAGCAATCTAATGAATTATTCCATTAGTAAAATTAAACAAAATTCATAGCTGTTAATGCTCATATAAAGTAAATTTGCATTCGTTGATGTAATTCTTTTATTTTTTTTTTTACTCGTTTTTGTAATGATAAAACATAAATTTAATTACTCTTGTATATGGTATCCAAAAACTGGTGTAGAGAACAACACAGAAAAATATGTTGTTGCCTAGTGGTACCCAGACAATCAAATATGTTTATCAAGACTTTCGGTCTATTACTGAGGGATCTTAATAACATGACTAGATATCAAATAAGCACTTTGACTGTACTATTTACAGGACACGGTCGTCTGCTTAAGTATCTTTACACATCGGAATGACACTGAATCACCACTGTGCAAGAAATGTGGAACAGAAGATGAAAATTTAATTCACATTATGTGTGAATGTTACACCCTGGCCACATTAGGGCACGAACATTCGAGGAAATGTTTTCCCGAAAAAGAAGATATCAAAAACCTAATACCCAAAGAGATACTTAATTTCGCTAGAGAGAGAGGACTCTTTAAATGTATAGGTGCGACCTAGTTGGACGTATTTTTTAGTCTCAGATGTTCAACAATAGTAACAAAAGTTCGGTATAAACACTTATGTGGAGAAACCAAATTAATATGATTCGGTAGGAGATGCGCACTATGGACCTATAGATCTGAGTGCCTGGATAGTTCTTGCCCACCTCCATAAAAACTAAAATTGCTCCTGTATATACCTTTATGGGGTTTTAATAATTATAAAATTGATTTTAATGTCAACTTAAAATATAAAAAATGGAAGGAAACTATTTTTCTAGTATTTCATTATAAATACATACATTTCCAGGAACAAAATAAATAGCTGATTAAATGTTTATCATCATGTATAAAAATTATGTATTTCTACTTTTTAAAAAGCATAAATTGTTTTAAAAAATATACTTAGCTATATGATATAATTACTACTATTTTTATTTCATTTATAAACCGATTTAAATTATTTATTTTATCTAAAATGCGATGACATTATAGTTTTGTTGAAATAAAATGCTTAAATATAGTTTTTACATTTTTATATAGTGACCATAAGTTTTAAAATGGTTTATTTTTAATAGTTAAGCGATAAACTAGAAGACATTTATGTAATATTTATATAATGATCACATTATTCGTACTTGAGATTAGTTTAGTACATATACATATTAGTTTAATACATATAGTGTCATACGTATTTTGCCGCTTTTTTAAAATATTTTTATATGTTAAATGAGTATACAAAAACCACGATAATTTTTTTATGTCTTTAACAGTGTAGTAAGACTATTACGTTTTCTTTTTTATACTATTTTTTAAGAAATATGATCCATATCATCAAATGGACATCATAAATGACTTCCATTTTTTATGCTATTGTTGATTTAGCACGTAGACGCATATTATCTATTACTTACTACGTGTGTAATATTTCTTTTTGAATTTTTCATCTCACTTGGAAATATTTGAACACGTTTGGTTTTTATGCTGTAAAATATATGTTTGGAACAGATATAAATACTTTGTAAGTACTTTTTAGCCATGTCTTTGATATAAGTTAACAGTAGATTTATTAAACATTCTGCGATAGTTGTTAAAATCGTGTTATAAACAAAATACTGTACTATTTTGTTTGTATCATGACCCCAAAAACAGTATAAGTTCTAATATTATTACATATTTATTAACCAATATTCAACACCGCTCATAATATACTTGTGTTAAATTAAAATTAGCACTGATAACTTACAATAAATACGTTAAAAATAAAACTTACGGAAAATCGATATGAACTCAACACTATTTATTACAATTGTCAAAGTAAAATATTTTTTCTAATGAATCCTTTACTTGAATATAAAGGAATCATTGTTAGTAAAACCTATACAAATATTTTTCTAACTATTTCTAGGGAATAAATGAATTAATTAATATATGTGTAATTAATATATATGTAGTTACAACAAATAAGAAAGATTTATTTTAATAAATAAAACGATTACTTTCCAACATATTATGTACATAGTATATTAAAACGGTGGATATTTAACAACGTTAATTAGGTTAAGATCACGTATTAAAAATTAAATCAATTTAATTTACTAATGGTCTATGCAATTGAGCCAATTTGTATTCTGTAAAGTGAAGTATGTCAGTAGTGAAAAGACAGTGCGTTCTTTTAGAATTAGCAATTAATTGATTAATTTCGGAAATATGTATGAATACCCTTTCTAGTAGCACATTCAAAAAATTTTATAAAATTTCATTAAGAATGTTTCTATATAACAAAAAAAATTTTCTATGCTTAAAAAAACATAGAACAGAAAATTTGATAGAAAAGGTTTAGTAGTAGAGGAAATATCAGGCAAAGCAAATGGGTTAAGTTTAGAAGATGAAGTGTACACAAAATTATGTGATCAAATAACTTTTTATAAATAATTAAATTATAAAACTATATAAATTTTTAAAATCTTCTATTGGAATTATGTGTTTAACGTTCTTTCAACTAAGAAACTTAATTCTTGTATGTGAGGAAGAAAAAACAGTCCCAACAGTTAGGCGGTTTAAAACTGAAACTCGATACCTGCTCAATGAGTAAAACATTTGCAAGTGAGCTATACAAACCACCTTAGTTGATTTTATATTTGTTTATAACTAGTTATAGTAACTTAAAAATAACACATTTACTCCGGAATTTAAGGGAAAATGAAAAGTTATTAATTTAAAAATCAGTAAGTCATATTTTATTTGGTTTTGAATTATTTCAATAAAATGAATTTGATTTGAATCTAAAGAAGTACTTCATTAATTTCATCTTTAGCACACTTATGAAAAAAAATCTCTTCCTCAGTCTCAATTTAAAAAGTTATTACACAGTGCTAATAGCGAACGTGAGCAAAATTCATTTATTACACATCGATTATGAAATATAAACTTAATTTACTTTTATCCGACTTTGCCTAATTATAAATTGAATAAAAAAAATGTTTTATTTTAGTAAGAATTTAATACAAAGATAATTATTTATGTTATTGTATAATTTTATTTTAATCGTTTAGCTTTAATAATACTTCTGTATTGAAAGCTTTTTAAATAATAAAAAAAAAAAAAAAAAAATTATTTATGTTATTATCCAAAATTAATAATAACTTCAATGTATGCACAAAGTATGAGGCACGTACAGATAGACATTTACGTAGGTGGATATATTAAATATTTTACACTTATTTTTTACCTGTCAATAAAGATACAGTTCACAGAGTTTTACTTTCTTAATCATTTCCAGGCATTAACAAAACGATTTACCATTAAAGAGACTTATTACAATGTCCTTTATAAGTTTTATTAACATTATTAGATATATTAAAAATAATCGAATTTTTTGCAATATTGTGATTACTTATATTACCAAAAACTTTTTAGGTTAAAAAATATAATCTTAAACCTAAAAACTTGTATACGCTATGTTAAAATTTCTAAGCTGCGCAGTTAATTCAAGGGCTCGCAAAAAAGTTTGATAAAAATGATTTTCAAAGGTTTTTCTTAAGTCTAGTATTACAGAAGATTATACGTAATTTAAAAAATAGTTTTTTCATATAAAGGTCACTTGTGGTAGCTACTAAATCTATTGGGTAACTAACATCT